GGGCTATGTCTATGGAGGGAGAGATGGATCGGGCGAAGGGGTGCGAATATATCGGTACTGGATCTATAATATTATGTTCTTTAATTTGTATTATTATTGTCAAGTGCTTTGAACAGTTTAAAGATTCTAATGGAACTGCATGTTATAAATGTACACGTAATTAATTCTAATTACTATTATTTTTACTTGTATTATCATTGTCATGACTAATCTACATTATGCCATTTACTATTATTTATAGGCCTATCGTACAGGCTATGTGCTCATTATGATCATTGATCATTATAATGATTATTGTGATCATCATGATCATATTATGATCAGTATGATTATTATGACTATAAAATTACTATTATCATTACTAGATCTATTATTACTATTATTATTAGGCTTACCAAACGGAATACAGCTTCCAAAGGCAAAATAATCATTGTGTTCTGTCTTTGATCTAGATCTAATAGTAGGCCAAGATTCTATATATCTAGATTCTATCTAGATTCTAGATCTAGATCTAGTAGATTAGAATTTTTTAGAATATTTTTTTATCAGCCTAGATCTAGATCTAGATCTAGATATTAGATCTAGATCTATATTATTTTATTTTTTTTGGGGGGGGGTTAGATCTAGATCTAGATCAAAGATGGAATAGCTTGATACACAGCGCGCGTATTATTGTACTGAAGCGACATCGTTAAAGCATGGGGTATGGGATACTCTCCTTTAACCTGCTCCAGGCGCTCAGTTGCCCGGCTAGCTCAGTCGGTAGAGCATGAGACTCTTAATCTCAGGGTCGTGGGTTCGAGCCCCACGTTGGGCGAATTTTTTTTTTTAAACTAAGATTCATTGTAAGGGTAATCCTTACAACTATTACTTCGACGTTTGTTCTTACGCAGGGTTTTTTTATGCTCGCACCAGTTCCATTTACATCAGAAGGCGGCTTCCGAACCCGCCTATCAGGGCCAGCCTGGGTTGAGAAGGAGGCAACATCCTCGCTGAACAACCGAGATACTCGATAAAAATTAATATCTCCCCTTTCGAGAGTCGATTTCCTGTCTCCTGTGTTCCACATTAAAGTGCCTAACCACTACTCCACAGAAGTTTTGAAAAAAATGACGATAGTGAGGATGCGGAAAGAAAAAGCAGCAGTTCCCTCTTTGTTGTTCCAGCACAGTATCATCCCATTTACAATTCTACTGTGCATAAGAACATGTTAATACCCCCC